TCATCTTCATCATCTTCATCATCATCATCATCTTCATCATCCTTATCTTCATCATCCTTATCATCATCATCTTCATCATCATCATCATCTTCATCATCATCATCACTTTATGGTATGAACTTTAGTTTTGTCGATTTGCATGTTGACGCATATCGGTGTGCATGTAAACAACCAGAATCAGCCGGGCTTTTTTTTTGCACCGTCTACTCGTGCTGCCCCCAGCAAGATGCCGCCCTGGGCGATCGCCCGTACTGCCCATGCCTAAACCCGCTACTGCACACACACACAGAGGGCTATTTCTGGAGAGCAGCATATGTGTTCACAGCGAGTGTGTTCCGTCTCTCAGCTCATCAGGAAATGGACATGCAGAAACACACATACACACACACACACACACACACACACACACACACACACACACACACACACACACACACACACACACACACACACACACACACACACACACACACACACACACACACACACACACACACACACACACACACACACACACACACACACAGTCTTGCTAGAAAGACAATTGAACACTGAGTTGAAGGTGGAGAAACAGCTTCTGCTTGTGGAGATCTGCTGTAGTTCTGCAGTTTGAGATGTTTCAGGAATGGTGTGACGTGAAGAGATTCTGTGTGTGAGCAGCTGGAAAACACTTTGAACCAAGCGGAAAAATACACACATTTCCTCATGCTGTCCAATATACTGATGGATTCAATTAAAATAAATCTGTGAGTCTATTACAAGAATGTCCCAGGAGCCAGTCTCATCACCCAAGCTGAGGTCACTGAGGGAGTTTGCAAGCTTCACAGTGGCAAAGCAGCGGGGTGGATGAGGTTCACTCTGTGTATCTCAGGTCTCTGGATGTTGTGAGGCTGTCTTGGCTGACACGTCTCTACAATGTCGCATGGAGGTCAGGGACAGCACCTCTGGACTGGGCAACTGGGGCGGTGGTTCCCATTTTTAAGAATGGGTGTGCTCCAACTATAGGGGGATCACACTCCTCAGCTCCCGTGGAAAGTCTACGCCAGGGTACTGGAAGGGAGGATCTGGCGATGGTTGAACCATTCCTCCAGGATCCAGGAGGAACAATGCGGTTTTCGTCCAGGCCGTGGTACACTGGACCACCTCTATACCCTCACCAGGGTGCTCGAGGGCTCATGGGAGTATGCCACATGTGTTCTGTGGATTTGGAGAAGGCATTTGACCGTGTCCCTCATGGCATTCTGTGGAGGTGCTGTGGGAGTACGGGGTCAGAGGCGCTCTGTAAGGGCTGTCTGGTCCCTGTATGAACAGAGTCTGGTTCGCACCGCCGGCAATAAGTCAGACTTGTTCCCGGTGCATGTTGGGCTCGGCAGGGCTGCTCTCTGTCACCAGTTCTGTTCATCTTTTTTATGGACAGAATTTCAATGTGCAGCCCTGGGCTGGAGGGGGTCCGGTTCGAGACCCACAGGATCTCATCTCTGTTATTCGCAGATGATATTGTTCTGTTGGCTTCATCGAACATGGACCTTCAGCATGCACTGGGGCAGTTTGCTGCCGAGTGTGACACAGCTGGGATGAGAATCAGCACCTCTAAGTCCGAGGCCATGGTGCTCCAGCAGGAAAAGGTGGTTTGCCATCTCCAGGTTGGAGGAAAGTCCTTACCCCAGGTGGAGGAGTTCAAGTATCTCTGGGTTTTGTTCGCGAGTGAGGGAAGGATGGAGCGTGAGATTGACAGGCGGATTGGTGCAGTGGCAGCAGTAATGCGGTTGATGTATCGGTCCGTTGTGAAAATGAAGGAGCTGAGCTGAAAGGCAAAGCTCTCGATTTACTGCTCAATCTACATTCCTACTCTCACCTATGGTGTTTAGCTTTGGGTCATGACTGAAAGGATCTCAGATACAAGCGGCTGAAATGAGTGTTTTCTTCCACAGGGTGGCAGAGTACACGCTTATAGACAGGCTGAGGAGCTCTGAAACCCGGGAGGAGCTCAGAGTAGAGCCGCTGCTCCTCCACATCCAGAGAAGTCAGCTGAGGTGGCTCGGGCATCTGTTTCTGATGCCTCCAACGCCTACCTAGAGAGGTGTTCCAGGCACGTCCCATCTGGAGGACCCAGGACACGCTGGAGGGACTATGTCTCTCGGCTGGCCTGGGAACGCCTCGGAATCCCCCCGGAGGAGCTGGAGGAAGTGTCTGGG